GGTGCATGTACGTGTGTGCCTAAAGTCCCGCAGGGAGAGAAATGGTGAAGATTGCAGCATGACCGTCTTCCCCGGGATGCGTTCCCACTTTCTCTCTGTCTCTGTCTCTCTCCAGGGAGTGCATGTGCTTTCTGACAAGTTTTCTTTTTAAATGACAAAGATGGGAAATGCTACCTTACTATGTTTCACTCCAAGAAAAAAATATTTTTTGCAAATCTCTCTGAGAGAAAAGCCCCACTTTTTAATAATTGTGTCAACAGGCTAAAGTCTTTCCGCTACTGCCAGGAGTCCCGGAAGGGCTGCTCCCGCCTTCCACTAGCCTTCCGCCTTCTGCCCGGGGTCCAGGTCTGGGGCCCTGGCCACGTCCTGCCTGGGGAAACCCCGCAGGGCTGGCGAAGGCTGTGGTTAGTCCCTTTGTTACCACTTCTCTCCAGTGTGCTGAGGACGAGGAAGCCCAGGGCTGGAGTGTTTGCGGCTAAGCCAGGAACGCGAGACCGCTGGCGGCTGGCAGCTGGGCGGTGGGCAAAGTCCTTCCGATGGAGGTCGGGTCGGGGAGGTCGGGGTTGTGGCCCCAGGGGCCCTGAGCTGTGGTCGGGGCACCGTGCCCCTCTCCTTCCTCACCCTTCAGGGGGCGGCATGTCCCCAGCTGCTGAGCACGTCAGGCCCTGCTCCCTCGGGCCGTCCTGGACAGGGCAGGGGTGCAGCCCTCCCGCGCGCCCTGCAGATGGTACCGTGCGCCCAGAAGGTCGCTGGGAGGTCCTCCAGCGGGACCCAGGGCAGTTGGGCCCTCAGTACTCGGTGGCACCTCAGGAGAGGATGCGGGTGTTTTCCAGACGCGTTTCTGCCGGGACCCTCCCCCTGGAGGAGGGCTTTCCTGGGGACCCTGGTGGCCCTGCTGCTCCTCCTGGCGCTCCTGGTCAAGCTGGCGCTGCACTTCTTCAGGAAGCAACGGAGGGCCCGAGGTACGCGGGGTCCGGCGCCCCAAGGCTGGCAGTGCTCGGGAGGAGAGGGGCGACGGTCCCTGACGACCCCGGAAGTGCCACCTGCCGGGCGTGGGGGCTGGCGGGGCTGTGACCCGCTGGAGGGCTCTCAGTCCTGGCCTTCGCCGCCCTGGCCTTCCTCTAACTGTCAGAGGCGCTGCGGACGCGGGCGGAGAAGGAGAAAGGTAACGGAGGAGGCCGCTCTGCCCCGCGGCCCTGCCGATCGGTCCGCGGCGGCCCG